GAAGCTCAATTTACAACCAGGCGTTTTTCTCATAATCCGCCCCCACACAATGGTTGAAAAAGGTGTTCCATACATATATATATAAATATATGCATAGATATACCTACAAGGAGCGACATAAGATTGTTAAAACCACCAAATAATAATTAATTACTTTTTCGAATTCCGGATATCTGGAAATGGTTTACTGCATCGTAGGACAAACTACTGACCTAGGAAGTCAAAGTACGAAAAATGCAGGAGATAACTGATAGCCTTGTTGCCATTCCGTCATTATGACCGTCAATATGCGGGGCTCGGTGCGGTATTTAAAGCTAGGCAAGGGCGGAGAGTGATCATGTTCTTTACTTTTGTATTCTGTACTTTGCTAAAAGGTCAGTTGTGTACTGCATTTTTTACATGGCCACATTAGAATTACTTTAAAATCCAACTTAGACTTCCTAGATCAGTTTTGTCTTACCATGCAGTAAAACTTCGAAAAAGTAATAAATTCATATTTGGTGGTTTTAACAACTCTATGTCGCTCCTTGTGGCTATATCTATACATGTGGAACACCTATTTTCCGACCATTGTTTATTACATACTAAAATGTATGCTGATTTTACTTATTTATATATGCCCTTCACGTTAAAACTGGACTTTCATATAAATTATGTGTTCCATATTTTGTAAACGAATGATAGATAATATGCCTACTTAATACTTTCAGGCTGAAGTAGACTTCGATGGAAGAGCGCTAACAAGATCGTACTTAGAAAAACACGAGTTAAATGTTTTGTTAGAGGTAAGTAACTTTTACGCTAAGCCGATTCAAATGTAGTTTAAGTAAAGACTAAATTTCGCTAAACATATTTACCATTTTTAGGATATAAAGAAAGTTGAAACTATAGATGATGTGGAAGCGTTTCTCCTAAAACACGGAGAAAATATTGTAGATATGCTAGGTGGGGAAATCGACAGAATAGAATTGAAGTTAAGGGTAAGTTAACGGGTTCTACTTCAACAACTTCTCTTTAAGTGCTTGTGAATCATGCTTACTAAAATCCAATAGGAAATTCTTTTTACTTATTGGCGGTTCGTCAGTTTTGTAAAAATAATAAAATAAATAATTTAAAAATTGTGGTGAACATACTCAATGTCAAGGTTTTTGTCATCTCCCGATGACCATTTACAATAATTTGACAGTAAATAATATTTCAAATGTGACTAAACTAAAGTCATGCATGACTCATTCATGTCTAGTGTTCGGAGTTGAGGGGGTTAATTTACCTAAAGCATGAACATTTTATTAACATAGATATACTGCCGTCCTTAGTTGAAAAGGCGCTTGTGAGTAAAACTCAAAACCGAGAAAATATGTTTAAAGAAATTGGCCGAAAAAATATATGCTGTTTCCAAACGAAGAAATGTAGACAATTTCTGCAAACGCAGTAAGATGAACCTATGTTATACTCAAAATATGGCATTTTACATATTTTATTATTATGCTTCATTATGTCATTATTGCACTTTTCCCGTTTCAACTTAGTAAAAAAGTGTTCGTTTAATATTCAATACTAGGTAAGATAGGCGCAAGCAACCACTTACGCCTTTTCAGCTGAGCATAATTACAACACTATTGTTAACTTTAGTGTAATAATAAGACAAAAGGGCAGCATGTAGTTACAATGTCTTTTCAATGTGTCGTAGCTTTTTTTTTTTTTTTTTTTTTTTTTTTTTTTAAAAAT